CTATACTTGCGGTTTCCAAAATAACTGCCTTTTGAATCGTACCTTGAATCCAACTGTCTTGTTGTAAGAAGCGAGAGCTTCTTGAGATGTTATCAAACATTATTGTTACGTGTTATGTAATAATCAAGCCATATTTCTGTTAGTGTAGTTATTAAAATTTTATGTTTTTCTTTATAAGTATAAAGAGATAAAAGAATTACCGCCAAGTACTCAGCCAAGTTATTATTAAGTTCAATAAAAGCTAACTGTTCACTTTGTGGGTGTTTCATTCTCCCGAATCTGAATTAATTTTATCGATTTTGTAAACTGCTCTCTCCGAATTTAGTCGTCATGTCGCAATGGCGCTTCAAATTCATTTAATGGCCGATTTAATTCAATTTGGAGTTGGAGAGTTCTGTTTTAATGGAGAAAATAAAGTATTATCCAAGACAAAATCTTTGTACATCGATGGTTTTTTAATTTAATTTTTTATGTACTTATTTATTTCATTATTTAACAAGTATAAAGTACAGATTTGTAACATAAAATGGAAGTATTAAATCAGTTATGTAGTGTATTTTATATTTTTTTTTAACGCCAAGGCAAAATGTAAGTGAAACATGAAACCTTAAGTAATTTACGCTAAAGTTCATTAATAAGGACGATATTAAAAGAAGATTGTAAAGTCGGGAAAAGTTAAAAGTCGAGAGACGTCTGAGGAAGATCTGATTAAATTTAACTCTGATTTTAAAATACTATTTTCTATCTAAAATTTATTTGTGACGAGGATGATGTAATAGGTTTTAATCCCAAGCTTTTCGTTACTCTTGAACTTTTTTAATAACCCTGTTCGGGTGTAATTTTTAGTTTTCAGTTAGTTGAGCACAGGCTATTCAGCCGCCAAAGCTTTCAGTTCAAATTAAATCGGGATTTGACAGAGTCCGCATGTTCAAAAGCTTTCTTTTTATTACACTAACGTCAGTAAATAGTTAATGGCTAGTTTACTATCAATAGTAAGTATTAATTAAGACTAAAGTTTTAGCGAATTAAGGCGATTTTAATTTCAAAGCGCATTAATAAATGTAAAGAACAGTTTTAACTGAATTCCGTGCAAATTACGCTAGACGCGGTTTGCGGCATGTTTTTTGACACTCGGACTTTTGAATTTAAAACGTGAACTCTTCACAGCCTCTTATATGCCGGCCAACCTGTTGCCTTTGTGACTGGCAGTTGAGGCTTATTATAATAAAATGTACTTTGGAATTTGTTAATTCATTGAAAATTCAATTAAACAGAAATAAAGATATCCTTTTCCTTTCCACCCTTTTCTTAAGAGGAAAGGATGGGAAGGAAAAGTGGACTTGACGACGAAGGAGACACACAGAAAGGGGAAATATCCTGTTTATGTGCGTCTCTGCCGTCAAGTCCACTTTACCTTCCAATTTTTCCCTTATAAAGAAAGACTAAAAAGGGAAAGGGAAAAAAATACTCCTTTATTGATGAAGGTAATTTATAGATATTTTTATAACAAAAATTGGTATGAAAAATATAAATTATAAAAAGGCCTACCAGTTTGGATTGTTATAATCAATAACAAAACTACTAAGCATTATAAAGTAGTGAAATACCTATATTGTGAAATCATTTAAAACTATGAGTAACTTATTCTAACATAAACTTAAGTTGTTGCGCTTGCAACGTTGGAACATTCCTGTCGGCTACCGCGCGCCGCGTACGGAGTACCGAGAGCACATGCTTTTGTGAAGTAATATGAAACATGACCAAGATTGCTCGGCTTCAACTTTAAGCGTTCTACACACTATATCTTAAAATGTAAATATATCATAGGACAATAAGTTCTACAAGACGAGAATTTTGTTAACTTTGTTTGTCCATAATAGTGTCCCAATGTACTGACGTAAATGGTATAATTGACTTTGAAAATTTGTACTAATATCTATAACCTATGAGAATACAAGACGAAATTATTAAAAAAAAAATAAACAATGTCAAGATTAAAAATAACGCCATCTAGGTAAAAATTAAAACAATAAGTATAGGTTAGGTGCGGTTTACATTTTAACTATACGTTAATATTGTACTGAATTTTATTCAGTAAAACTGTTGAATTTACGCTCTATTTTACTTCACAAAGGATGTTTGCAAGGGGAGCATGCGTGCTCGAACGGTACACTAGCTTTACCAAGTTCCCGCCTCGTCGGCGTTTCGAGTACTTAATGAGATGCATTCGATGTTTGGCGTAACGTGAGCATGACTCTTGCGTGTGCGAACTTTGCAATCTCATAACCCACTCTGAAAATTGTTTGCTAGGTTATTGGAAATTTTAATGGAGTTGGAAATTTAAAATCCATTTTCTGTTAAAGCGATTTGTAATAGAAGGTGTGTTCAGTAAAATAAAATTACATTTTTTTATTTGAATGAATCATTGAGTGAATTATTGTGTGAAAAAGCTTATTTTTCAAATCATGGAAACAAGGAGTCTATACTGTCACGTTTTTTCTTAAATAATCTTTGCTAATGTTATAAAAAGGAGAGATCTGTATTTTTGGATTTTTGTATGTATTGAAATAAGTTTAAAACTAATGGGCCGGTTTTAAAAATTCTTTCACCACTAAAAAGCTACGTTATCACTAAATAACATAAGCTATGTTTTTTACTACTTTTTATACCAGGTCGACAAAGTCGCGAGCAACAGCTAGTAATAAATTTCACTTCACCTTCTTGTGCTACAGTTCTTTTTAAAACATATTTCATTCGTGTACATATTTCTGAAGATTTTAATAGAAAATGAAACTGACTCGACTATTTAATATCAAGATCTAAGAAGCACGCTACGAAATGAATATGATGTATGAAAGTTGAAGCTGAAATACACAGCAGTTATTTAAATATAAAGATGTATTTCTCAATATTAAAAATAGGAGCATATTAGAAAATAGAAATGGGAATTTTATTTACGGTTCAGCCATTACCTTCAGTAGTGCAGATGCAATCGCCAAATGTTGAAGCTATTATGGCGCATAACGGCGCGGAATAAAATTGATTTTATTCCGATTAAATTTTATAAGGCAAAAGAGGATTAAATATCCCTAAGTTTATCGTTAATTCGAAACATCTAACAAATTGGTTTCATATTTTGAGAAAATTAATTTCATAGCATACTCAAGTTAGAATTTAATAACTGACGATTATTTTTATCTACAGGTATATCAATACTTAATGTTAAAAAGAGAAAATTATTTTTTGTAGTATCTATTGATAATAGCTCAAAAACTACTGGGCCGATTTCGAAAATTCGTTCACCAATATATAGCTACGTTATCAGTGAGTAACATAGGCTATATTTATAACAATTTTTATTTTCGTGTGGACGAAGACGCAACAGCTAGTGTTTCATAATAGCAACGGCCATTTGTGACTACATTTAATGTAATAATGATGACATCTCTATAAGTCATGTGAAAATATGAGTACTGTCAATATTGTATCATACTTTTTGTTTTCCGTTACAAATCCGTCTCGAGGGACCATTAATTAATGTAGACGTTAAATACAACCTTGAGTTAGAATATAGCGTTTTGACTATATTTCCAATTTCTTATTATTAGTTATATTTAGTATGAATACTCGCTACTACTAATTTTTGAAGTCATAGCCAGAAAACAGACAAACAAGTGCAGGGGTGGTGAACCACTGTGACTCGTGCCATAAATGGCACACATTATATTTTGAACACGTCGCTGTTCATAAAAACACCACGAAAAAAGTATCAAGTAGGTGCACCATAGAATTGACGTAGTAATCGCATTCAAATTTATACGATGGTACGTCTAAGACCGCATTAAATATTTCTTTAAATAAATATCACTTGGATGCATAAATGTTCGCCAACCCTGGACTAGTGCATATCCTATACAGAACCTGGTCTGATGTACAAAGTACGATAGCTATATTGGATACGTTTGTATGTACGTGGGCTGTTTTTATAGCTGCTTTATGGGAAGTTTTTTATAACCTATTTTATTACTGTGTTATGGCCGGCATAGTTTTAGTAACGCGGATGTGAAAGCTTTGAGACATCTTAATGGCAAATGCGATTTTATTGACGTAGGTTAATGGCCCTATATGTTCAAACTGAAAATTAGTCCTGCATATAAATAAATAAATATTACCAACATGTAATTATGAACAGTTTTGTACCACAGTGAGTTATAATTTAAGCTACAAAATAGCTGTGACTAAAAGTTTTCTCGGTAATGTTTTTTAATTTTAACCCTTAATTTAAAATATGAAATAGTCAAGGTTTTGTAAATTTATTAACTGATATAAGTTTGAACCTTCACTAGGAAGACAAAGACCATTTAAATAATAACACTTACCTTTATTCTCTGCTTGTGTAGTCATCTTCTTTCTTCTTTTGAAAAAGGGTAAATAAAACACGAACAAAAATTTATTGATAAAAAAATCGTTGTGTTAATTTAATTGTTTTCAGCAATCTGTGGCACCTAGGGGTTTAATTTAAACGTTAAATTGTCCATAAATAAACAGAAAAATAAGGTTTCGGGTAAGGATTAAGACAGAAATAAAAACAGAAAATTGAAAACAATTTTTTTTTAACAGAGGATTTTGTAACGGAAGTGTAGTAAAGTATTTAATTACAACGCCTTCGTAATGTTTCAACTTAACCCGACGCCGTTCATACCGGTTGCCATTTCGTATTTAAGGATCCGATTTTTCTTTTTTAAGAATTGTTTTAAAGGTCAAAACATTCTTGTAGCGGCATTTACATAATTCCTCTTTGTTGTGAAATAATTTGAACTTTAGTGTACCAGCTGGTCGTAATGTTAAAACTAAAATATTTACAATGGAACATAGGGACATTTTTATTTTTTACCTCTAGTAAAAACTTTGTTTTAACTATTGTGATTTTTTTTCTTTTTATGATATAATGATGATAAAATGTTTTTCTTTTTATCCAGCCAGTATCCAAAGGAACTTACCTCCTTGCGGGAAGAATTGTGAATAGATAAGTTTGAAGGTGTCTTCCCGCACGACACCTGTAGGGCACTCCGCTTTGAAGCCTCGGTATAGACGCTTTAGTTCGGGTTCGGTGAAGCGCGTGGCGCGACGCAACGCCGCGATGGAATCAGGCCTGTACCTCGGCAGCTGCTCCCCGAGCTCCTCCAGCTCCGAATCTGGAAATGGAAAATGATGGTCAGTTCTTTTCTTAAATGAGCTGAAATATGGAAATATCCGGAATTTTTTTTGAAATTCCAATTTGAAAAATCAATAAAAAAAAATCTATTGATCCTTTAATCAATTTGGTATACTGGAATGAAGCAATGATCTAACCGCATTGTTTAACAGCCTTAAATGCATTTACTTATTCAAAAAAAATCCCTTTGACTTTTATTAATTTGTTTACTATAATATTCAATTTCTTTTGTTTAAAAGAAGATAGGGATTTACTGTCTCACTGAGGAAATTAAAATATAATTAAATTGAAATAAATCTACAATAACATTTGATCTTAACTCACCCTGTGAAAATGAAAAGATAAAAATAAATAAATAAACTTATTTAAGGACACGATGACTTCGGATCTATTTCAATTTACTCGCTGGGAAATTAAACTTCGATGCGGCTTTTGTTGTTTGACAGGCCCTTTGTAACTGTAATTAAGTTTATTGTAGAAATAAATATTGTTATTTAACAAAACAGGATAGTCGTATTATTTATAATTGTTAATAATTTACGTATTTTTTAAATTTTTATTTAATATCGTTAATTAAAAATGAACTATGCAGTACAAACAAGGTCGTAATCAATTTTCGATCGGTGTTCAATCTTGTGAGAGGCGGGTTGAGGAAAAATTCAAAAGCATAGTTCAATTGGTTTCCGTACGAAATGCAATTTATAAAATATTTCGTATCACAAAAGCGATGCAATGGAATGGTTGAGGCCAAACCTTGCAGAGCACAAGATTGTTTCTACTTTGAGATTCAATGGAGCTGAAACATGAAGCATTTATCGAACATATTTTTATATCACTAGGTAGCAAACAAGCGGCACTATATTCTATATAGTATTGACTAAAGTAGCGATGCGGCCGCTGCCCATAAACATCCGTAAAAATAACTGGGTTGGCTAACTGTAAATAATGGGTCCTCCGCACAGGAAGAGGTTACCCGTATTCCCCTTCCCTGCGCTACCACTTCCATCAAATTCGTTTCTTTCATCATTTGCTTGTACAAAAAAAGGGGGGGGGGAAAGAGAAAGAGAACTAAAATTAGCCATCCAGCACACACTCTTCAAACGAAACTCAGAATGCCTTCCACTTTATGCCCGTCTCTCATTGTATTTTTGTCGTAAATCTTGATACGTTCTAAAATGACCTTTTTACTAGAATCTTCCAACGATATTATATTCAACAATATTAGATTCAATCATTATTTGTGAAGTCAATTGATAATTATAGAAACAAAAATGGGGATTAACAAAAAAATAAGTTTCATGACAACGTACAAGGAACGATAACGATGTCATTAGACGGTCTCCCGAGGAAGCGACCACTTGTCAGAGAGATGAAAGCGATCCTTGTATAGTGATATACAAACTTTATGCTTGCTCGCAATTTATCACGAGACGATGCACACTTATGTATCGACAGGATACTCGCAAGTCAACGAGCCTGCATAAAGTTTGATTCTCATAATATCAGCTTGAGTGTCATGTTCTATTGGCGGAGGAAACACTGCTGTTATGCTGCACAAAGGTAATAATAGATGTTATTACGTATCATTATCCTTTAAAACCTCATGAAAGGAATTTTATTATTTTAGATGAAAGTAAAAAGTATCATTTAATTCGAAGTTTTGTTAAAAAAGGTTCTATTACAATGTTTCATTTATGTTTTAATGTTAAAACAATTTTTAACAGGAACATAAAGCATTATCAGTTATTATAAGATAACACGAAGAAAATGAGGAGTGATTCTTTGAATAAAAAAACTTCGATGCTCACTAAATATTATTCCTACGAGAGAAATGCAAAGTGGAGACTTTTCCTTTAAGGAAATGTTTTCTTTATATTGAAATAAAAGAGGAGGATCTGTTAAATAAAATGCTATAATAAATTCCGCTTCCCGGCTATTACTACGAAGCTAAGGATGTGTTCTATTTTACTTAGTCACAGTTGTTTCTGTCTCAATGTTCTGTACTCTATTCTTTTCTAAGGAGGAATAAAATTTTATAATTTGAAAAGCAAACAACTGCGAGTCACTTGTACTATTCACGAATAGGAACACAAAAAAATTAGGTAAAGTGCTTACGAATTAAATAAATAAATAATAATTTTATAATATAGGCATAACAGTTACAATGAGGTTACACATTCAAGGGATTATTTCGTTATTTTTTAGTGTATTAAGTGTGTAAGTGACTGTACTCGTACATGTCTTTTTGGGAATAAAAGGAAAAACAGTATTACTTTTTCGATGGTTGGTTTTTAATGTGTTTTGTTTGGATGTCGGTATTGTTTTTTTTTAATATCCCAGCAACATCAAGGTGGTGTTTCTTTGATAACTTTTTTCAGTCCACTAGCAGATACAAAAGCTTGAAAAAGAAGCTGAAACAAGAACCGCAAATGTTGCTCTTCACAGAACTTGTTTGTGTTCGTACCGAGGCAAAAATCCTACCTATCTTCGCCTTTGTTTAACAAGATGCGAAGTGATTACGGAATGCTTTGCTTTCAACGCGGACAAATGAACACTTGGTTTTCATTTTTTTTTTATTTATTGTAATGTATTAGTATTTAAATAACATGTCATGTATGTTAAGCATAATTTTTTACTACTGAACCGATCTTCATTATATTTCCTCAAAATTATTGTTTTTATAACAAAAGGGTACAACTTATAAGCTAAGATCAATTTTAACTCGCGTTGATGATACCACCGATGATAACCAAGTAATGTTAGGGCGTGTAGTGTAGCGTGTAGGGCGTTTAAAATGTTTAGACATACTTGTAACAGATACAATTAAAAAAAGGACACAAAAGTAATCCAATGTCTCTACTATGTCTACTTTATAAATTCTGAATTATGCATTAAAAGTTAAATAAAACTGTATGAATGTGATTTAATGAGTGTTTTAAATAACTACATCTTACTCGAAACATTCGCATGAGTGGCAAGTTTCAACTTTCAAAGAAACAAGTCGCTGCAACATTCTCGACTTTAGTAACATGACATCTCCAACTAGTGTAAGGTTTTACGATACTTTGAAATTTTTTTCACATTTTCAACAGAAAACTTTTATAAGGTATTTAGTAAAAACATATAGTGTTTATAAATGTTTCTCTTTATTTAGCGTTTAGCGTAATAACATCTACCACGTGACTGAGGGTTTGAATCCCGACTTTTGATGGTTGTATCTTTCGAAGGTAGTTCTACCATCGTTTTTTATCGTAAAGAAATAACGTCAGCTAAGCTGCCTTTGCGAAAATCTTACATTACTACACTAAGTAAAAGGTTCAATAATTTAGATTGGTTAAACGGATTGTAGAGTCGATGGCTTTACAAGAAATGCACTTTATAACAGATCGAATAGACTTAAGCGCATTGTAGGTTTACTCGTACATACGGTGTCGCAGCTTTGAGAACGGTCACAGATAGATATCTTGGAACCTCTTTTTGTATTCCACTCTATCTTGGATTTGAAATAAACACTAAAACAGTGTTTTTAAAACAGAACACAATTTGAAAATATATTTAAAACTGTTGCAACTTCTAATTGTCTTACAAATCTACGTATACGTCAGTCAAACGTGCGTTAATCTTTGTTAAGTTAACATAAATAAACATATTTCTATAGCAGTATTTAACCCGTTCTATTATTGTATTCCAAAACAATTTAATACTCAACTTCAATACAGTCTTAAGAGTCAATACGAACTTTTAAAAGTGCTCTTAAGTGCACACATTTGTGGAAAATATTTACAGATTCCTTTCAAAGAGAAGCAAATACTACTATTTATTCCATTTCGTTATTCAAGAGGCGAAATACTGGAGCTGTAGCTCTTATTGCGTTGACTGTTTGTAAATATGTCATTTGAATCGACTAACTGCGCCTCGCTTGTAAATGAAGCGGTTTTAATACCCATTGAGAAATATATACGAAATACTCGCTCAATACGCCGGATATGAATTTCACTTTGATGTATTTTTAATTTTACTATTGCTTTTACGTTTTTCCTTTTGTACGTACTTTTTTTATACCACGAACAGTAATTGTTATTTTAAAAGATTTTCATGTTAAACATTGTATTTTATATTAAGTTGTTTTTTTGTTTAATGTTTGTAATTTAATACAAAAATGTAATGTGAGTTTCTCAATTGTTTTCTATTGTTTTTTTTTCGATGACAAGCTAAAGAGCTTAATTTCTTGCAAAAATAAAACTATTATAAAATGAAATCTGGCAAGTACTTTTACTTGCCAGATTTCGAGATTCGAAATTCGAAATTGCGAGAAGCTGTAGTAAGTTCACGTTCAGTAAAGGATGAATCCTTGGAGGAGCATTCTCGTTATAGCTGTGCTTCAAGCGGGCTGTTCTCCGTAACGGCTCTTCGCCTTACAATTTATTTTTTTACAGACTGTAACCGTGCGAAAAATATTGTTCAGTTGCTGCATAAATATGTATAATTTTAAAAATACTTTTTAAAATTTTATGAGCCTTCGTTTTCAAAAAATATATTTTATATGCTTTATTATACACGAAACACGGTGTATACAAGTTCATAATGTACTAGCTGTTCCTATGCGGCTTCATCCGCATAAAATTTTATTTTATTGTTTACATTTGTCAAATTATCAAAAGCAAATGTCAAAATATCATGACATGATCATGTTGGCAGCAACTTACCCACATTCGGGTTTTTATCCAAAATATTTACCTCCCAAGTTTAATGGTGTGAAAATATGTAGCCTAAAGCGTGACGTAAGTATAGGGCTTTTAATTAAAAAAAGTATTATTCAAAAATGTGCTGTAATTGCTGACATCTTAGGCAATAAAGAAGTGTGTGTTTACGCTTTATTACAATAGTCTAGATTAGAAATGTATATATTTAAGGCTATTGTTATTTACTGTGGGTAAAAGACAACAGTAATGATTTCGTCAGCAATGTTTGTGAACATGA